TTCTTTAAGTGCCTTGTATAGATACCCTAAGAAGACAGCTGCAGTGTAAATCATACATTATCAAATACCCCAAAAATCCAAACAAGAAAGTCTTTATAAGCATCTCAAATGAGGGAAAAAACTTCAGCTGAAACTTGCATCTATGAGACACAAATCCATAAGAAAACAGGTTTTATCTATCACAAAATTACTTGGCTACTAGTTCAAAATTTTCATTTAACACTGTGGCTATGGAAAGAAACAAATCCATCTTTTTTCCCCATCAGAGTCCTGAGGTGCTATGGGATACTCAGAACAGTAAAAAGTAGACATAGCAGCAATTCCTTAGAAAGCCTTTTACTTCCAGCTGGTCAGACTTGTGCTATAAACACTACGGCTGAGGCTCTACTACTTACCTAAGAGCCCAGGTGTTTCACTTAATAAATCATCTGTTTCATGCTGCCCAGCCAAACACTGAACATCTTGAATTTGACGAGAAGCTAAAGGATGAGTAAATGAATCTGCAGTTTTCATGGATTCACTTTGTTTTACTAGAGTAAACCAATCCTCTGTCTGAGAAAGCGTAGCCTATGAAAAGAAACATCATCAAATAATTCAGTTTTCTCAAGTTATTGTAATGTTTCTGAGACCAGAGGTCTTACTGTGTGCAGTCATTTTCTATGCTCTATTTGTACAGATTTCTATAATGACAATTCCCAGTGAAAGGAGCTGTATGACAGTAGCTGAGCATACTTGTAACACAGCGGTGCCTTCTTTTTAAGCTGTAGCATGACTCATCAACCTTCTTCTGTAGCACAGACAGCTTTGAGAAGAAGCTATATTCAGAGAATCAGTCGTTATGGTAATTTAATCGGATGCATTCAATCTAGCTCAATGTTATAGCCACTAAACGTGTTTATTTTACCTGGCCAAGTGACACATAGAACTTCTTCATAGTGGACGAAGTGGCATCCTCCTCAGGGAAAGGAGGACTTGGGTCTCTCTTCATTATCCAGGGATAGTAATCTCTGTCTATAATGAAATTAATGCCAGTCTTGCTCCATTCTACCTGTGATATCAATTTAGCTAGCCTGAAATTAAATGTTAAGACAAGAAAGTAGATAATTTTAGCTTTTAGTCAGAGAAGCAGTTGATTGATTTATCCCTAAAATAGACTATAAAAAACATGATGACTCTTAAAATAAATTGTCAAAAGGAACTTTATTATTTCACCCCTTGCCTGCTGTCACATATGTAAACACCAGCACTGCCACTCTGTAGTCCACCAAGTTACAGATGGTGACCTGCTTTGCATTATAAAGCTTTACTAGCAAAACTGGTTTCTGTCAGGATGATCTTGCATATATCCATGCAGTTCCAAGCCCTGCCAAGAAACCTTTGAACGTTTTGATTGCTTAAATGAAACCATTTCCCAGTTTGCAGAGCCCTGTATCAGTACCAGACACTGCATTTCCTGCTCCTGATACAAGCAGTCCCAGCAACAGTGCCATAGCAGTGATCATACTAATTGAACTTTCAGACTCTGATTGATGATAATAAAACAGCTGGTGTTATCTTGTTCAGCTGGCTGCTGTAGGAGAACTTCACTCCAGAGCTACCTTGTGAGTGTTAGTGTGAGCCTTGTAATGTCCAGAAGATTGGGCATTTTTAGAACCACATGGCAACAAGGAGGATGCTCTGAGCTCAAGAACAGTGGCAGAAATAACTAGGTTAAGTTAGAGAGTAGTATATAACTAACCAAGGCACAGGTGAAGGGAAAAAGAAGCCTATGCCGTAGCCTCACTATCTGAGGGCAATGGGATTTCATTGCAGGGTTAGGACAGCTTTACCTGTTCCTTAAACACAAGTTCCCTTTTTTTCATCTCAGCCTATTCTGAACCTAATTCAGGAAAGCAGCTTAAAACACTGATGTCAATGGAAATTAAGCACAAGCTTAAAGTTAGTTTTATGTAAGTCTGTCTTGTTCAAATAAGAAAATACTTAGCTATAGCAGATCAAATTTGTTAGTGTTTCATGCGGCCTTAAGGGATGTAGACATAAATCCTTCCAAAAAACAGACTAAACCTCCTGAACATCTTGCAGTAAAACTGCAAATCATGCGACTATGCCACGGCATTTGGTGGAGAACCTTGCAAAAGGAAGTCTAACAGCAGGCCCAAAGATACAAAACAATAATTAAAATAAGAAAGACTGTCTGTCTCTTCTAAATAGTTTTCATAGACTTGCATCTTTTACTTTAATATGGCCTATTATTTGATTATAGAGAGACACAAGCACCATGGTATCTCTGCGGAGCAGAGATTCAGAAATAGATAAGCACAGCTTCTACTCTGTAGCGCTGTAATATAGTACAATTGTATATGACAATTCATGGTCAAGGAAAATTACAGAATGAGAAATGAAAAATGTCACTGATTTTAACTTATCCAGGTCACTAAAATGCTAAAATTAAACAGGATAAAGAGGCATGAAGAAATATCTTAAGGTTACTGTCAAAATGAATTAGGCAGAGGAGATGATAAATTTAAACATTTAAAACTGAGAGACAGCATAAAAGATTGCAATACCTGTATTCAAAGTAACAATCACTTTCTAGAAATGCTGGAAGTCTTTCTTTCTTAATCCACTGAATTGCTTGTTCTCGATGAAGGCGCTATTAAAAAATAAATGCCAAAGATTTGCATAATTTTGACTTTCTTGTATTTTCTACCAGGTAACTGATTCTCTCCATCCCCCTCCTACAGAACCATTGTCTCGGAAAAACAAATATACAATGAATATTAGCTTTGTCATCTAGTTTAGCCCTAGCCATGCCAGAATAAGTCGGTTAATTTACTTTCCTATAACAGCTGAGAAGGTCTAAATCTGATTTCACCTATGTGAGTACAACTATTTTAACAAATCATGGGTGGTTTTTGTTCAGAACTAATGCATGCAAGAATCCTGCCTTTACTGTACAATCCTAAATGTAAATTAAATGACAGATGCTGACAAATTTTCTGCAGTAGGAAACTGCTAATTTTTCTGACTATATCACATGTTTTATAAATAACCGCTTTTCGGTTTTTCCTCAGTAGCTTGAGGAACAAGGAAACCTCAGCTTAGCTTATGCTCCCAAAATGGAATATCTGTGAATATTAGAAACAAAATCAACAAACAAAAAGCCGATCAGTTATCACATTTTCCAGTTTATGCTGGAACATTGCATAATTGCACAGCACACATTAACTCTTTTAATGGAAACCTAAGTGAGAGTAGAATTAGGCCCACAGTAGAAGCCCTTTCAGCTGTCTAAGTCTCTGAGGCTGGTCAAAGCAGCAGCCTGGGTACCTCCAAAGGGTGATTTGCAGGGTGAAGGGAGGCGTTGAGCAGCAAGCTACGCAGAGCCAGCTCACTGAAAAACTAGGCCTAGGGTTGGTCGTGCACAGAGAGCAAGTTTTCTGAATATGCGCCACAGTGAACCACAGCTGGTTCTATTAGAAAAAGAGACTAACACACAGCACGCTACTTTTTTTTAAAGAGTGCACTTTTTACACGCTAAGGAGATGACCTATTCTATTTATCTGATGCATTTTTCCTTCTAGTGAAGGGGAAAATGATGATTAGAAAGAATGTGGAAACTCCACTTCTCCACAAAAACAAGTGAAGTGTGGACAGGGGTGGAAATACTGATATTTTTGCTACTTGCTATATCAAACAATCAGTTCACATAGATAACGTTTTACATTTTCTTTCCATGATCTAATATTTCGTTAGGGATGAGGGTAATTTCTGCTTCACAGATATCTGTAGGGGATTAATAAATCCAAATTACTTAGAAAGTGGGTGGTTTCATTTAGAAAGAAGAAAATATTTCAAAATATAGAAAGCTTATGTTGGCTGTGGCTCATACAATGTAATTTGTGGAGATGGAGACTAATTACTCCCAACCGCAGAGTGTATGCCTCCTTTTGGTAACTGACAAGCTTTTTGGAAATACAGAAAATTGTCTCTTTATTTTGGCCAATCAGTCTGCATTTAATATTTATGCACTTATTGACTCACAGCCCAGTTTTTTATCTAAGTGATTCATAACATGTCCCCCGTCTGCACATGGCTGGTACACAAAATCATATATGCTATAAGCAGGAAAGAACCTCAACTCTTTCCTCTTCCACAGAGCAGAAGTGCTGCATTTAATCTATCTGATGGGTTTTGTTACCTTGGTTAGCTTCCTTACCCAGTCAGCCTTGCTGGGACCCAATCCAACAAAGCTTTTAGCACGTGTTTAAGCTTAAGCATGTGTTTAACTTCATTTGATTGAAGCACCTAAGTGCTTTGCTAAACTGGGGTTTCTCTGAAGTAAGATATGTGAGATGCCAGCCAGTTTCTTTCCACGCTAGTGACTGGTCCTACCCAAACCTGCATAGCTTTTTTCTTAGTATAGTTTCCCCCAAGATGATTTTGACTAGTGACAAGAAGATACTTGCTTCCATATCTATAATTTGAAAGGGTGCATGCACAGGCACATAGACTTTTTGCTTATCTGTAAATTTGTAACAGTTTGAGAGGGAAGTTAAATATAGAGGAAAATACGATCCCACGTATTTCTCAGGCTAGGTATGTTTAAATTCAAACTTCAGCCTGGAAGGCATATTGAGACTGTCAGGTCACAGCTCATTATCATCACCAATCTGCCAGTCACGGCCACTCAAGCTGACTTTTTGTAGAAATGTAATATTCAAAGCAACTGTCAATCTCTTCAGTCAGTGTGAAACAAGCAAAGATATAAGCAGTTACAGCAAAGGAGGCAACATCACTTCAAACCTGAAAGATCAAATCCCACTTGATTGAACTGAACTACATCATGCAATTGGTCTGGGATCTCTTCTTCTGGTTCAGTAACAGTGAGGTACGATGAATGAAGAAGCTGTCTTCTTTCACATTATGTAGCTGCAGTACTGATTTTTGGCATGCTGTTTTGTAGGCCATTTTGCTCCAGCTCAGCCTTGAGATGCCAAGTTGAATTTAATGAGGCATCCCAATTACCTGTTCAGTAAAGCAGGCAAAAACATGGAAAAACATCTCCCTTCCCCTAAAAGGGAAAAGAAAGCGTACAGAGGCATAGTGTTCTTCACAAAGGCCATAATGCTTCCCATCTCTGGAAAATCCCCTAGAGAAGGAAACGCATTCTAAAATAATACAGGACCCCTTTGCTTCAATCCACATGAAAGACATAAGCAATAGTGAAGGCAAAGTGGTGGCTTTGAATTTGTCGAGAAAGGCTGTCCACAGTTGCAATGATGTGAGGTCATCCCAAAGAGCAGTCTTAACCACTTTTGCACAAGCGCACAACATTCCTTCAGTTAAATCCTGAGTTCAAATAAGAAATCAAGAACAGCCTTTCTGGTTTTGCGCTCTCAAGCAGTGCTCTGAGAAAATAATTGCTTAACATGGTAGAAATGCCTGTGAGCCTTGTCCTTTTGCACCATTTGTACTATACTATAGGTGGATAGTTTCAGTCTCCCGTTACCATCAGTCTGCTAAATGTCATTGCCTTTTGACCTCTCTCAACACTGTGTTTTCTTTTCTGAAAATCATTAAGCTTATACTGAGCAAAGAAGCAGTCAGTTATAACTCCCTGACATTCTATCAGCTTTCCAGCTATGATATAATTTAAAGCAGCCTCCTCTTAAAATGTAGCAAGAACTTAGACTGGCCTTGAGTGAAATGAAATGAATTCACATCAGTCACACCAATGCAAATTAAGCAGAAAAGGAATACATGAAATATTCCAGTGAAATTTGTTTTTTTCTTCCAAAGCTATTGTCTAAAGGTAGACCCCCAGGACTAATCCAATGCTGAAGAAAGCCTTGAGAGCAAACAGGTGAGAACATCAAAATTGATAGTGGCCAAGCAAAGCTAAAACAAGAACTTTCTTCTAAGTTCCAACCTATCTCTTCATTAATTTAGCTTTCTCGTTGCCAAAGGTTATTTTTACTGGCCATTTCAGCTGATGCTAACCATGTAAATCCTTTGGGTATTAATGGAAGAGAGACTTATGTGTTGCCAGACCACAGATGAGCTCATAGCCACACAAGGAAATTAATTAATAAGGAAAGACTGAGATGCATTAGTTTCAGTCAATTTGCACATTCCAGGGATCACTAGTAAAGTAACTGTTGTCATAATATTTTTTCTTTTAATATTAAAAAGCATTCAGACCACACAACTGAATCCTGCCCTACAGAACCTTCAAAATTTTGTGCTACAGGATGTACATGTGTAATTCCATTCACTTGTCTGGTAGACACATGTGCGTTGCAGGGCATAATTTGGCCCGTCATTATGTTTTTCTAACATAAATTAACATTTTTCCCAAGCTAACAAGCCAAACACAACAATAACTACTGCCAGTATCTCTACACTAAGATCTAAATATAAACTCAGTGCTATAAGATGCTTACCATAGTGTTGTAGCTTGGATCAATACCGAAGGCTGGAGAAGCGCTGCTCTTTTTGGAAAGCTGCCCATCATTCTTTGCTTTCCTTATAACATCATAAATGGGGTTTGGAGGTTTCTGATCGTGCAGAATTTTTTTCAGTTGGCTTTCCAGGCGTTGTGGGGCATCATTAACTACTTCAAAAACCCCAAAATCAGAATTAAACTTAACTGGCTGGGCAAAAGTCTACAAAAGAGGTTTGGAGAGTTTATAACACTGTAATAAATGAAATCTTTCATTTAAGAAAGTTACTTTTTATAGTACAGAAGCATCCTGCAGAATCGGAGTTGGTATGATAAGGCTTCCTTCTCCTCCACTCTGCAGTTTGTATTCGACAGTAAAGTAGTAGTTTTCCTGTATTCTTGTTCTGTACTCTCCTCACTGTAGAGCTTTCCAATGCATTCTTATTCTTTGTCTCAGCTATGCTTAATTGCCAAGAATTTAAATCATTCTAGAACATACATTCAGACCATTCTTTTCCACATGCAAATAATAGATCCAGTACTATAAATGCCTGGAATACATAATCCACAGTGACTTCTGCAAGTGTTCTGCAGGAGACTACATACAGAATCTCAGATCTCCGGTGTTAGTACCTCATTCACTACCACAAACAATCAAGGCCTGAAAAGATTAATAATGAAGCAGACTTTTTAAATGTAAGATGCACTTGAAAAGAATGATTCTGGAGATTCCCATTCCATTATTTTGATGAATGTGTCATTTTGGTTTTGCAGCATATATAGGAAAGGTTTTTCCTCATATTGTTATTTGTATACACATACCAAAAGCCATGGCGTATTATAAGTTTTACTCTACACCACCAGCTCACTAACATACCATATAATACACAAGGTAGACCAAACTGCAACCTTGGCTATGTAATTGCAACTTTTGTCAACTCCTTCCCACCCTCCCCTCCCCCTCAAAACCCCACTGCATGTGTATATATGAAAACAGAGCACAGCCATCATTCACCTTTTGAGTTCTGGTATTAGATATTCCCCTGCCTTTTCTTCTGAAAGACTGTCATACTTCTATCTTTCAAATTCTCTTTTACTTGAAATGAAGGGGGGAAATATGGATGGATTTTACAAAAATCTTGGAGGATACTCAAGTCATTTATGAAAATGAGGTTATATAAAATCAGAGGATATAAGCATCTCTGTACTGAGCAGGAGGACATGAAGGAATGTTGTATTTAAGAAGAACTGAAAAAAAAAGAGGAGTGTGAAACCCTGGCCATATTCAGTCCCAGTGCCAAAACTCTTTTTCGCTTCATTTCAGACAGGCTCCCACCTGGTATTTGTAAAATTGTCATTCCCCTGCACTTAATAATATTTTGTTTTTTCAGACACTGTATTTTTCATTCAATTGATTTTTTTCATATATTACAGTATGTATATAGAAGCATGTCTATATTTAGATATGCATATAAACACACAGACATACTTCGTATACATACTACATATGTTGAATACATGCTACATATATCAAAGTACATTGTAGGCCATTTTGACCCTATTTTATACCAATGTAAGTCCAAAGTGATCATCTTGGTGTCAGCTATTTTGTTGCTTCTGTTTGAAGTCCCCTGGCTGACCAATGTCATACAGAGCAATGACCAGAACCAAACAACGCGGCGGCAACATGTGGCAGCAACATTCCCAACTTTGTCCCATAGTGTCACTGCAGAGGCTCAGCCTGGCAAAGCATGTGGCATTGGGAGGGCTTTAAGCATATGATTAATGCTTGGGACATCAGGCTGTCACTGGTCAGCGCCATGTACTGAATTGCATTAATCTGTTTAGTTACCTAATTTCACTAGAAAAATCATGTGCTGTTTTTTGTTCTCTGATGCTTTGTGCCTTTTTTGACATTAATTCCCTCCAGGGTACCTTGCCGTGTTAGTGCCTTTTCTCTAGAGATACTGAACGGTGTTTTAAAGAGGCTTTTATGTGCTATAGATTTCCCTATACTTCATACAGACCTCCTCCTGATTTATTATGTGTACATTTTGTTTACTTTCAAACCTAATTTGGGCTCCTCATAGCTTTTAAGCAGCTAACTGCGCAACCTTACTAATCTCCAAATATATTTTGCATTGTTTAATTTTTTGCATTTTTCAAAAGGATACAGAAGAAAATACAATGAGAAACAAGGTGCTTCAGTCTCTCAGGATTTCAAATGGTCTTGCTTACAGAAAAAAAAGTAAACAAGGCATGCAAATTCCATAATCTAGGGTTACTTGAATAGACATGACCAGATTATTTTAGTTCTATGGTATTCAAATTGAAAACTAACCAAAGACAACATTAATATATCACGCATATCTACTTTTACTCAATCCCTTGTAACTTACTCTAGTTCTAGGTTTTTCAATATGCATTCTAATTAACTGAACAGAAAACATCTGGCAACTTTAATGTAGTGAAACAGATGCCAATGACAACTTTTAAAATGTAAATTGTATTGCTATTTTGGGTGTCTGACCACAAATCTTTTATAAGATACATTTACTATTGGAATAAAAGAACATACACCGATGAGATAAAAGGATTAAGCCTTTATAAACTACATATTTTACCAAAACAGCTGCATTCATCCAAGGTGTAGTTTCCTGCCCCCAGGAACATCAAGAGACAGGCATGCTGTCCTGTATCAGCAAGAGAGTAGCCTGTAGATCAAGGGAAGTGCCCTGGACACTAGTAAGACTGTATCTGGAATACTGCATTCAGTTTTGAGCCCAAAGTACAAGAAGGATCTTGGTAAACTTGAGTGAGCTCAGCGGAGGACCACTGAGATGGTCAGGGACTGAAGGACTTGCTCAGCAGGAGAGGCACAGCTAACAGGGCTTCTTTAGCTGGAAGAGGAGACACCTTTGGAGGGAGTTAACAGCAGCCCGCCGTACTTACAAGGAGGTCACTGACAAGGTAGAGCCAGTGCACTATCAGCAGTGCATGGCAGGAAAACAAGAGACAATGGTCATGCACTGAAACAGAGAAGTATAGATGTAAGGGAAAAAAATTCACTGTGGGAATAATTAGGCACTGGAACAGACTGTCCAGAGAGACTGTGGAATCTCTGTTGCTGGAAGTCTTCAAGACTGGACCGGACAAAGCCAAAGGCAGCCGGGGCTGAACTGAGTGCTGACCCTGCTTTCGACAGGAGGCTGAACTTCTGACATCCCTAAGTCCCTTTCAGCCTGAGTGCTCTATGCTTCTGTACAAACCCCATATTCTACCAGAGAGAACATTTCAACCAACTCTCATATGAAAGCATTTGAAAAGAGTTAAAACTTTTCTGAGGAAGCATATTTCACTTGCTTGCTTAAGAAAACTAGAATGATAGATTAGAATGTTTTTATAGGCATAAAAAAAGAAGAGGTAAGTCCTGACCTTCACTCATCCCCACCACAAAAATGAAAATGATAATGTTATGATAAAAATCAAACAGGAACACCCAAAAAAATCATCTTTATTTCTTGTAGAAAACATTTTCCCAGCTACAGTACAGCACAGAGAGGCTCAGTCAATCCTTTTCCCTCTCAGTATGTGAAAAAACTTTGGAACAGAACACCAAATCTAACCATTCCCACACATTACAAGCCACAAAAAACTGCTCAATACCCTGTAGCAAATTTAAAACCTTTCCCACAGAAGCCAAGTGCCATAAAATCCTATAATGTTTCACAAGAGCAGCATGGGAAAGGTTTATGGCACCACCAATATTTTAGGTCATTGCAACAACAAGGAATCTCTTCAGTGAAGATGCCCACTTGTGTTAAGGAGAGCACAACAGCCTATGCTACAAAAGAAGGGGAAAAATATTCCTGCCAATCTAATATAGCAGGAAATGCCTTTCTTACCCTAAATTTGGCAAGTGCTTTAACTTTAACATATAAGCAAACTACACTAACCAAACATTGGGAGTATCAGTGCATTCTTCCCTACATTCTGTCTCTAATTTGGGCCAATTTCTGACCCTTCAAAGACAGAGAGAAAAATTCTAGAGCCAAATTATACCCCAAGAGGTTAAAATAAACTCAGTTTTGGCAGGAGGGCCAAAGCTTTGGCCATGAAGCTTAGGATTCATACATTATCAATTTAGCACAATAATTGATAATAGGATCAACAAGGATTTGAGATTACCAACAAACAGGAAATCTACAGATTTTGCAAACTGTATCGCTCACAGGCAACTCTCCCCTTGACTCTAACATGACCAGTGGATTTCTAAATGTTTAATTCGGTGTAGTCCTCTCAGCTTCAGAAAAATCGTGGGGCAAAAGACAAAAAAGCTCTTTTCACACTGTGGTATAGCAATTATACTAAATAAATAACAATTCCATATACATTTTTGACAGCAAAGAAATTTCTCAGCTGTCAAATGCACATTGAATATAGTCTCAGCTGAAGAATAAATAGAATACATAACCCTGAAACCTAAAATAATACAATTTACTGTATTACTACTGAAGGCAAATTTCTTTCAGTCTTCCCAAAACAGAAACCAAAACAGCATCCGTCACCACGTTGCCAGGATATCAGACATATAAATCTCACTGTTCCCTGTCTTAACAGTTTTCAGATATACTTAACTTCAGATATACTTAACAAATGTGTAAATATGCTCCCCACATCCCACCCCAAGTAATGTAGTTTGATCCCAAGAGAAACAGAATGACCACAGCTTGGCCGTCTTTTAGGTTAAGGCCCTGAAAGGGTGGGAATGAATAGAGACCTCATCCAGGAGTTTTGCCAAAACTTCCTTAAGACGGGTATGTGTATATCATAAATAAATGTCAGTGAAAATCCAGACCAGAAAAGAATTTGAGCAGCTCTAGGAAGTGCCTGGGAAATTCAGACTGCACAAGGTCGATGGCAAATCTCCCACTGACTTCAGCGCGTCCAGGATTTCCCTTCTGTTGATGCATAAGGCACAAGTCACAACCAAACACCACAATCTGATTAGTGCATTTCAACAGTAAATGCACTATCAGTAGGGAAATAAGTCAGGATAGCTTCTTTTGGTTTCTTGAACGCCAAAGATATCAAGCAAGTTTTAGTCCCGGATTAGGCTCTACGAACATAACGTGCAGTTAGGACCTCACTGATGCAAAAGCCTTTTGAGGGGCAATTGTAATGGCACCTGCAACCTCTCCACACGCACGTGGAAAACCAACAGGGAACTAATGAGCATGTGTTAGCGCCTAGAGGAATAACTCAGAGGCATCTTCAAAACAGAGAAGGGCTTGAACTATGTAGCCGAGTGGATCATCTGTTATTCATAGCATAGCATTCAGATCTGATTTTACTCTTGATGCCACCAGGTTTTCAGGCCCATTCCATTTTCAGAAAGGCCAATTGGCGCAAACCTTCTTTTTTATCTCATGCTATAATCTTTTTCAGAATCATCACCCTGGGTCAAATCCCAGAGCACAGTCTCCTGAAGTCATCCTGAAGTGAAAAGTGTTACCTGCAGACTGGCCCAAATACTTCCTCTTAGATCAATGTACCATGATACTCATTCTAATCCCACCACTGTAGTTTCTACTAGCATGAAAATTATATTAAGCAATCTACCTACAGTGTATTCCCTCTTCTTTCTGTGGAGCACTATTAATACATCTCTTTGTGCTGTTAAGCAAGGAAAGGAGAGTATGTTTGATTTTAATGTAATAAAAGGGATAAAATAATTGCTTGTCCTTTTTTTTTTTTCTTTAATAAGCTGAGAGCTTTTATAGGGGAAAGACTTTCGAAAAAAAAGTAGGTCTTCAGATCTAAGTTGATAATATTGTGGCCAGCTTTCTGCTGCAAGGGAAACCCATAGCCAGGGCCTTGCCACCAAGAATGCCATCTCCCTAGTGCACTTCAACCAAGGTACAGTTAGCTCTTTGACCTTAGTGCGACTCTTCAAGTAAGTCACAAAGAGGAAGAATGTGTTGCGGGGAGGACCCAGTCCACTGGTAGTTTGAAAATGAAGGTGAGGGCAGTGGCATAGAGCAGAAGGAACAGGGAGTAGCTTGTAGAGTGCAGCACAAACACGTTGACATCACTGCACTGTCTCACTGAAGCCTCTGACACTGAGCTGATTGGAGATTTCTGATAGTCTGAATTTTCATTCCTGGGTAAACACAGGGATATTTTAAACACATGGACTACTGATTCAAATTCTAGGGATCCCTGGCCAGGTAGAAATGGAAATGTATCTACACCAATGTTTCTATCTTAAATCTTCCATTTTAGGTTAGTTAATCAGTAAGGCATTTAGATTGGTTACTCGGGAAGGTGTAACTTGTACATTATGTAATTGTTTTCTGCTACTGTCAAATCACTGTACTACTGGCAACAAGCATCCTCATGTTTGCTTGGTTGGTTGGTTGGCTTTTTGGTATTATTTCATCTTCCAGAAATATTTTCCTAACAATCTATCCTTCATTAGAGCAAGCACCTCTGTGGAGTACATAGATATTCATGTCAGATTGTACTGAATGTTATTGTAATAACATGATAGCTTAAAGGATATATTGTAAACCAAAGTAATCTTTTTTTCTGCTGCTATAGAAAGTCCCCAGTGGTATAATTTTCCATACACTAGTGGTGCATTATAAATCAATACAGAGACAGTCTCTTAAAATAAGCATACACTACCACTGATTACTTGTATCAAGTCACACAATATTTTCAGTTTAACTTGTTGCCTAACTACTAACACACCTGGGTAATACAGTTTCTAGGCAACAGCACATAAGCACAACAAGAATAAAGCAATGGAATTTTCAATGCAGCGTTTAACAGAAGTGTTCTGAGAAGAGGAGGGAAATTGGGAATATAAAATAGTCAAACCACAGAACTCAAGGTATTAATAGAAGTTAATCCTGGAAAGGATAAATCGTCAGGAAAAAATAAAAGGAAAATAAAAACAATTATGAAAACATTACAAATAAAGATATCTAATAGAAGATAGCCTGTTTCCATTAAAATATATAAAAATACAAAGAGATACCATAGGTCATCTTAGAAAGCTACCAAGATTACCAGTATAAAACAGTGTTTACTCAGAACTGACCATATGAATTCTTTTCTGCAAGCTTTGAGAGCAGTAATAAGTGCCTGGGCAGTTGCTGCATTTCAGAGCTGCTGAACTGAGCCAGTGCTCTGGGCCTAGGAGCCCTGTGAGGCCACAGAGAATTTTGGCCTCTAATAGATGTCCTGAAATCATATCAATGCATATCCAAGGCATTGGATAAGCAGGCTAAACTTTTTTCCCCCACTCCATCCGCTATGATTTGGGGAAAACTTGAAGCATAGCTTCCAAATAAGCGAAGGAGGGGGCGGAGGATGGTATTCCTGCGTTAAGAGCAATCTGGCTTATGGAAGATAAACCTTGCTACCTCCTAAAATAGTCCAGTTTTCTCGAAAGGATGCCCAGGTTTTAAAGACTATGTAATTTGGGTTGGATTTAGATAAGCATCTTAAAGCAGCTAGCAAAAAGAAAAAAAAAGGCAGAGAGAGAAACAGAGAAAACCAAAACACTCCTATCTGTAAAAAGTACTCTTAGGAACCTTGCAGGAAGGTGACGGTGTATAAAGACTGAGCTTCTGGGACAAGTCAGCATCACTGCTGTGCACAAAATTCACATTCTGATATAGTTGTTCTAATACTTCCATATCCTCTTTTAAGATGAAAAATTGGCATAGAGGACCCAGTTCTGCCAGTCTTAGGCATATCTCCCATTATATTTACTTTCAGACAAATCTTTGATGTGGTTTAGAGAACACTTCCAAGTCTAGATGCAAGTGGTAAACCTGAATCATAACTGAAGTTATTCCAATAGTAGCCACACCACAGTTGGAGGTCCAACGTGCAGCAAGAAATATCCCACATCATGAATATTAATTTCTGCCCCTTCCCAATGCTGGTGGTGTATCCCAGCAGGCAAGTAATGAAAACGCGCATATGTTGCCACAGCACAGCATGCTTGTCTCTGGTATATTTGGAGGGGGAGAGGCTGTGAGGGAGTTTGGGGGCAGATAGGCTGGGAGGCCCCATGGGAGCTGTGAGTGACACTGTAGAAAGAAGGCTGTGCCACCGTGCAGTGGAATATGGGTGTGATACGTGGGGATGGAGAGGACGGGGATAGTTAGGGACTACACTACTACGAAGAAGTTGGGTGAAGTTGCCATGTTGAGGGAGCAGGACAGTATATGTGGCTCATATACTGGTGTGGGGAGGCAGGGTATTCAATAGGGAAAAGGAGCAAAATATAGGGCAGCTGGCTGTATGTAGGGCATTGGGCATAGTGATCTACTGTAACTGGATCGGGACACAGAATACAATGTAAGGCCGCATCCTTCCAGGTGCGGATGGGAGGGGAAAAGGAGGGAAACTACCAACCTTTTGAAGCCTTCACATGAAGGATCATGAAGAAAAATGTATTTTGGCTCCTGAGCTAAAATGTTAATCCACCGCTGTGTTCATTGCCAGAAGAATGTAAAAGGACCAACGTTTGTCACTTTACCATGTTGTGAAAGAGGAATAGAAGTGGACTCGTCATATGTTTTACGTAAGTATTCACATGTCTTTTTCATTTCTCGTCCATATTATTTTGGTGTACTATCGGTTAAATATGTAAATTTACATGAAGCAAGAGAAAATCTATCCCCAGAAGTCCAGGTACTGCATTATATCTCCAGATGCTGATAAAGACATTGAAGAGTAAAAGTTGTTACCATTAAAATATAGAAATATTGTAAAAGCCATTTGAACTTCCCAGTGGCAAAAGACAAATTATTCTAAGATCGATTAACTTACTACTAGTCCTAGTGAGGCGTTTCTTGTGTTTTGGAAGAGATTTCTGTAAGGTACTTACCGGAAGACTCAAAAATTCATTAAAGTAGTCTACAAGCATATCATCTGTGGCTAAGTAGTCTTCCTATGGAGACACAAAACCATAAAGCAAGGCTTATACTAATCTGCGCTAACGTGTTTTGAACACACTGTCACCCAAAACAATGATTTTCCCATAAGGTAGGACATGTAAACTTTTGCAAAAAGATATTTTCACTGTTGAGAATATAATCGTTGCTCTCTTGTTATGTTCTAGCCATTGCAGAGTACTGAGGTTCTTAGCAACGTAAAAAACACACATGAAGGTAGATCTTTTTCCAATAAATGTACAGATAAAGCCTTCATAAACCAAACAGCTTCTAAATGCTGTAAATCTGCATGCTTACTTTTGAAAAGATGTGCACAAGCAAATAGCCTTGAGATTCTCCAAATTATAACTTTCTCTCTGCCATCTGGAAATGAGGGGCATACAAGCATTCAGCAGAGCCTGCTTCTTCTCCAACACTGCTGCCTAGGGATGTTTTGGGGAACGTTTGGGAAATAAAAGGGAGTTCATCAGTCTACAGATTGGCTCACCAAGCAAGCAGTGCATGCCATACTCGGAGTCTGACAGAGCTGGGAGGTTTCCTGTTGACTTAATTATAAGTCAATGCTGCATTTGCAGATTTTTTGTGTCCTTATGACCTCTACGTTTAAATACCCCACTCAAAAATTATGAGCAAAATACAAGTTCTTTTTTGCTCTTGACAAAGCAATAAATGCAGAACCCCATCTTACTTCTACTGCCCAAAATACTAACCCCAACATTTCAATTCAACAGAAGGCAGAAGTAGAACGTTAGTCCATTGGCCTTTAGAGATCTGTTGTTAGCATGATGGAGAGTTCTGTATGGCTTTAATAGTTTCAGTTTCTTAAGTGTTCTATTATTTCTGTCTTGCAAAGCAAGGAGAATGCACCTAAGTCAAATCTATTTACTGATATCTACAAAGGTCTTATGACACAAATCTTTTTTCTCTCTCTCAAGTTCATTGGATTCAAATGTGCCAGTGAGGAATAATGTTTAAAAAGAGGTTATACGGAGTGTAAGTAGTATCACTGGTAGGCAGGCAGTATCTTGATCTGCTTTCAACAGTGTCTAAACTAATTTAAACTAAGACTCAGCTTGCATTTAGATAAGGAAGAAACCATGAGCTACTATTACTGTGGACTCAGGAAGGCACCTGTCTGCAGCATAGCAGGCCAGAACCAGCCCTGACAGCGTTTGTCCAGCCTTAGTCTGCCAAATTTTATTTCTCAGCACTTGTGGTTACTGCTAAGACACAGGACAAGCAAGTTAGCTCAGGCTCTTTCCTAGAAAGAGCTGACATCATTTAAAGCAAGGCTCTCAGCATTACAGAGCTCATGCTTTATTTGGATATCAGGCCCATGGTCCAATGCGGCTGTAGCACTACAGAGCTAAAGATGTTAGGGTACAGCTTAAGTAGGAGAATTTACTGAAGTATCTAATCCAAAGCATTTTGAAGTCAATAGAAAATCCTCCTGCTAACATCGCTGGACAATCAATCAGATCCAGAGATCTCAATTCAGCAACCGACAAAGCCATTAACATAAAAACAAAAAATAGAAACAAGCTACAGTCTGCTTTACATTTGTTCTGCGTCATACACAGTTAGATTTGAAACTGATAACGCTGAGTCTGAAGATGGTTAGATGTGACCATCTATACCATATATACAGTATGTGTAAATATTTTATTGGTTCAAATGACTTATTTAAAACAATGCATTTATTGATGGCTGAAGTATAAGCTGTTTAAGAATATGCAGGTAACATGTGTTTTTAATTTGCCAAGGATATTATTCTCTTTACTCCCATATAACAGCAAGAAATATAAACACACTGAATCATTAATCAATAAAAAGTTTATGATCTTATTAATGCAAGTTTTGCTACTTACTGCATTTTTCTATATACAAAATACCTTTCTTGGATTCTATTTTTTTTTGTGGTCAGTCTTATTTTTATTTTAAAATCATAGCTACACTTTCATATTTGCACATTATAGGTTATAGAGTTTCATATACAATATTATAGTTTAGATTTTTGTGGCAGAAAGCATTTTGTTTCTTTCCTTCTCATGCTATTTTTTCTGCTGCACAGTCCAAAATATGACTAGAAAAAGCTGTCTTACAATTGCAAATGGAAGTCAAAATGCACTAAAAATAGGTCAAAAACTGCAGTCTTCATGAAGCAGTTGGCAGTTTTGCCTTCATGCAATTTATATACTAATAGGTACATCCTACACCTGATTTCTATCAGTCTTTAAACATTGAAAGGAATTTTAAAATCCTTTTATCAAGGATATATTGTAAAAATCTTTCTTATATATTTTGTGGAAACAACTCTAATAACACTTTATCTGTAATATTTGATAGTTCTTTCCGTATTACTGCTATCAAGGAACCAGCACAGAAACACATAGATATTATTAGATACCCAAAGAAAAACTGAACACAGGTAGTAGTGGGATGGTTTTGATAGGTTTGCATTTTACATTGCAGCATCCACCAGAACGATAAATACAGCTCCACTCGCAAAAACTGTGCCTTTAAATAGCTGAGCTAAAGTTAATATAAACCCCCAGTCCTGTATGGAAGTTTGACAGCTTCATATCCATGAGCAATATCTACCTGTAGTCAAACATGTCTAGTCGTATTAAGTGGCCTGCAGAATCAAGGTTTAATGCAATGTAAATATGCAGTTAAGAAGTGTTACAAATATGTTCTCATGTGCATATTTCTATATGCTAAATATTTACTACATAGATTGTTTATCTCTACCTGAACGCAATGTGGATTCTGTTTATGACTTACAATGCATTAGCATATAGATGCCCCCAAAAGGAACGGCAATGCATTTATACTTTAAAATATGCAGCTACAAAGGTGTCCAAGATGGGGAAGAGACAGACATTACCTAAGTTGCAAAATTTAAAGTGTCATTTGATATGAGGTAATAGGTACACGTATCTGCTTTCCAAATGAGAAGACAACCTTCAGGGAGATCCCACTGTGAGTTATGAGAGAAGGTAAAGTAAGGAGAAGCTTGTTAAATCTGTCATGCTGAACCTTTCAGTTGATTGTTTCCTTCCTTCATCCTATTTTACTTTTCTTTCCTTTTCTGTCCTTATTTGCCACAGAAAAGAAGAAAAAAAAAAAAAAAGAAACAGGAAACTAACTGCAGTATTTTCTTTTTGTCTGAGAATTGTAACAAATTGCTCAGTCACTCCATACTTAGAGAGCAGGAAGAAATGAGAAATCAGATAACAGCTTCCAGTGACTTGTTTTGCTTTTTTGCTCTACAGTTGCATGACAAAACGAATGATCAACCCTTACAAAGCATACTTACAAACACATCCTCTGTTATACATGGAGGCTCTGAAAAATAAAAATGCAATGTTATATGTTATTCAAGCAATACAATTAAGCTTGTTATACTATGAGTATTGAACAGAAATAAAGTAGGCAGCAAGGCATGACAACCTTCTTGGAGATTCTAAAATAAAATAACTTAATTTGAGGAAACAAAATCTAAGATGCAATAATGTTGACCCATGCATAAAAAGGTCAAAGAATACAAGAATGGTTTCAATATCAAAGTATTATTTAACTAGATTATTTTATTTACTTTCACATACACATCAGTTAACTTCTTGTCAGTTTTGCTTTGCAAAATGAAGGGCTAGAAGCTTGCTGTTTTTAATGAAAACACAGATTTACATGAGACTTCAGGAGCCACAAGCTGCAAATACTGTGAATCACATGATAAAACTCCAAGAGATGTAATTGGAGGTGTTCCTGAATAACCAAATCTCGCTCCAGAAAAAAATTTCCTGCTTTGGGATGCCTCTAAAGGGAGCAAAGTTCTCTCTTCACATTGACGAATATTGCCAGGCAAGTTTCAGCCTAACAGTTTAACATCCTTCTCCTTTGCATGACTGTCTCTGTGCCATGAAACAATCACTACGAGGGTCAGAGCCCCCGACACAAGTTCAGTCCGTTGCCCGGTTTGAAGAACGCTACTCACCAGTGGTAAGCCTCTTTGACTGCATGCTGGATCCACACGTACAAGGCCTGCCACTGATCCCTGCAAGTTTACAACCTCATTCTCTAAGGCAAAATGCTTGACTGAGGACCAGAAATATAAGCTGCAGGATTCCTGGGCCTAGCTCCGGACTCGTAGTCTGAAATAGCCCAGCCCGGCTCCTTCATGTAGCTCACAGCAAGCGTGGGTTGCTATGGCACTGCAAACAACACAGGGGACGAACAGGGCTTTTCTGAGCCATAAGCAAATACTTTTTCTACTGCTGATGTGAAGCTCTCTGAAGTGGACTCACATATCAGGCACACTGCTGATACGATCACAAGAGAGATGTCTGTGACCTAGGAGTTTGAGGGTATTTGCTTAGGTGAAATAAGCAGCAAGAAAGGAGATTAAACACTCTTCTTTCAACTAGCCTATGCAGTTCTTAGCCCAAAACGATGTCGTACTTTCCTCCAAAGTAGCTAAGCCCTTCAGCCACATGAGATTTTGCTTTAAAAAGCTCAGATCAAATGACTAATGATCAATGGATTTGTATCATGTGTCAAATAATGCTTTATCTGTGAGCGCGCTGTGAGGCTTGGTCCCAAGGGACGCAGTAAGTCCTACCTACGCTGGAGAACTCCTATCACAGTCAAGAACAGAAGAGGAGCTTTGCATGGCCCAGGCTAAGGTGATCCCTGGGTGGTTTCCTAGCAGGTACAAATGGCTCCATTGTGAGGCACCCGCAACACAGGCTACAGCCTTAGTGACAGCCATTCTCAGGGGTCCTTCCATTCCCTGCTGCTGCCAGAGCCCTGACCGAGCAGAAATCCAAAGGCAACTACACGTTCCTTCAGATAGTGAGAAGTTCACAAATAACTTGTGTGGATGGAGAAAGGATACTAAGAGAAGCAGAAGACAACCGCCTCCCAGAATGTTAGCGTCACCCTTGGCAGAGGAGGGTACCCTAGGACAAAAAAAGAAAATAATCTTTTTCATGCTAGCTAGTGTTGTGCCTAAAGAAGGAATTCAGGCTCCCCTAAGAGGATTTTGCTGGATTTTAGGTGTTCCATAACTGGGATCTGAAAATTTACTACTTGGTAGCTAAATAATTTAAGCAGTTCTAGGATCAGATGCTCACGTTCAGGTTTTTGAGCATGGAAGTTCCCTCAAAGGTTCTATTTCTGCATATTTCCAGAACTGCACTGATTTCAGTAGTTTGGCATAAATCCCATTGAGATCAGAAGCTGTATGAGATACCATGTATGCAAGTTACACAAAGGGCTCCTTTGAGAGGACTAATCCAGCAGCAGTACTCCAGAAGTGCCCAAAATGAACCAAGAGCTTTCCATTACCAGAAAACTATATAGAAAAACTAAACCCCCTCTCATACCACACAGAATATAGTATCTCCACTCATATTCTTCGGCTTCGGGAGGGCAGAAAGGTTTTACTTCATACATGCCATTGCTGGAGTCCATGATCAAGTGAAAACAGAACAAGTTCACATGCTT